TAATCTGTTTCCCACACTAGTTCCTTTCTTGCAACTTTAATAGTATTATCTAGATAAAGCCCCTTTGGTAATAGGTTACTAACTCTTACTAAAGTCCTTAAATTATTGAGATCAGAATCAATTGAAGCAACAATACCGGGATATTGAATTTTAATAGCTAACTTCATTTTAGTTGATGCAAGCTCAGCACCATGTACTTGTCCTATAGAAGCCGCAGCTATTGGAGTTGAGTCAAAATATGAAAAATTTTCGCGCCAATTTTGACCAAGTTCTGTTAGCATTATTTTCTATAGTAATTTAAACAATTAGTATATGTTTTTAGGCATAACTGTAACAGAATGATTGAATTCAATTATAAGAAAAAGTTTGAATAAATTACTTCCATCTGCCAAATTGGCATGTAATTAGCGCTATCCTGGACTTTTAATATAAGTTTTTCTAGTGGATCTGGTAACATTTCGTTACCTACGAATAATGTAAATTAAATTAAAAATTAAAATTGAGATTAAAAGTATCACTAATAAGAAAAATATTTACCTTGAATACTTAACATTTGTCCCAATTTCAATGCGGCACCCCTCATCTTTGTTAATTTGTCAACTAAACGATCTATATTGGCTTCATTTACAAATACAGAACTACCTGATATCAAGAAAGATAATTGTCAAAACCAATATAATAAAAATCCCTTTATTAAAATGAAAATCTTATAACTTTTTGTATCAGAAACTCCAGTAGCCCTTCTGAATGTCTCACTGAGAGCACCTACACCTAATCCAATAGCCAAACCTTTATAAAGGTAAAGTATTTCTTACTATTATAATTCAGAATATGTAACATTGAAAATTGATGTTTACAAAAATATACCGCTATAATGAAACAATCTGGAAACTCTAGTAGCTGGCATTTTGGATGCTTTAAGTACTTTAAGTATCTAATTTAAAAGAAAATATATTGAAGTTAGAGCCATTAATACATAAAACTAAGTTATCGATTTAATTTGGAAAATTTGGAATTTTAATGTGTACCTTCGTTTCGTGAATGGTTTCTGGTGATGCTTTGGCTGTGGAATTTTCAAGTGTTGAGGCTATGATATTTTCATGTTCCAGCTTATTTTCTTCATGTTATTTGGTTAAAATAAAAATAATATTAATGATAATAAAAATATTTTAATAACAGAGAATGGCAAGTGATGAATACCTTGTTTAGAAATTTTATCTATTTGGTCAATTTTACTATCTGGTTCATGATGTATAGGATCTTTGTATGTTTGTTGATATTTAACCGACCATCGCCAATTTGATGATTTTAACAGAATATCGGCGTAATTTGCTTGAAGTTTTAGAAAATTTGATGCTACTTTTGTACACGCATTTATAACACCAAAAGTATCCGCAATCCTCTTTGAAGACATTCTCTATTGTTACAGTTTAATAGAACTGATATAGATGTTACCATATCCCTTTTTACTTCTAAATTGATCCAAAAAGAAAAAAAAAAGTTGTTGAACTGTTGAATTGATTGATGTTGCCAATTCTGGGAAATCTATCTATTTAGAGCTT